TTATTTATTTATTTATTTATTTATTTATTTATTTATTTACTTATTAAATATATCTTTATTGATTTTAGAGAGAGGAAAAGAGAGGGAGAGAGAGAAATAGAAACATCAATGATGAGAGTCATTGATCGGCTGCAGCCCGCAACCCGGGCATGTGCCCTGACCGGGAATTGAACCCTGATCGCCTGGATCCTAGGTCGACGCTTAACCGCTGAGCCACGCCCAGCCGGGCGTCCTGTTATTTTTTTAAATAAAGGTTGCGAGGATAGCTCTCCCCATATATATACATGTGTGTGTGTGTATGTGTGTGTATATATATGTATATGTATAATTTTTTAAAATAAAGGTTACCAGGATATATATAATAAAAATTATATATATATACATAAATAATTTTTAAAAAATAAAGGTTACCGGCTGGGATTGTCAGTTTCCCAATGATTTTGTTTTGAAGAACATTTATTAAATATATTGTCTGTGTGTATATGTTAGTGAGACAGACAGACAGAGGAGGATAGGGAGAGGGGAAGGGGAGAAAGAGAAGATAAGGGGGAGGGAATGAGAGAGAGGAAATTTAACTTCATACCCAAAAGCAAAGCAGAAACTTATGTCCATTTGTCGTTTTCCTGAATAATTTATCTTGATCTGGCCCATACCTGGCCATTCCCATACTTGCTGTAGCTGTAGTGCCATCTAACTTCTCGTCTACACGCTCAGCCTCCCCTATCCTAGGACTTCTGTGTCCATATGAAACTCAAGCAGTTCCGTATGTATTTGTCCTTTGGGAAGGCACTTGTCCCTTCACCTCTGTATCCCCAGGGCCTAGCACAGTGCACTCATCTCCTGTGTGCAGTGACTGAGTGTATAAATGATGACAGGCATCTAAGCCTTTATTTAATGGTTTTACCACATTCAAGGAGATAAGGCTTACTTCTTTATAAGGTGCCAGGTGGTAAAATATTCACCTAATCATAATTCATTTAGAAGAGGGAGGCCTTCCGGGAATCAGTTTCTCCAGGGCCGGCTACCACTGTCCGTGCAGCTGTTTTGTGCAGCTGCTGTTGTAGAGCTCAGAGGGGAAGGTGAAGAGGCTTAGCACCTGGCTGCGACAGAAGTATTGCAGAGCACGCATTGCACGGTAGTGTCACCGAGGCCTCCGTGACAGGATGCTAGGGGTAAACAATGCAGCGCACTCTATTCTAAGCAGCTGAACATAGAGTAGAAAATGGCTGCTGACTTAAACTTCTGGGGCCAAAGCAACGGCCCCCACGGCCATAGATAAAAAAGAAGTAAGTAAATATGTAGAGACAAAAATGAGAACAGCTCAGTGTACTCATTTAATCTTCAGGAGATTTTATTAGCTAATTTACAGGTTTCATGGTTTGTAAGTAGAAAATAGAAGTGCCAGCCTGTATAGGAACTTAGATGGACAATTGCATTTCTAAGTGGGTAAATAAAGCTCTACTTGGTTCCGTTACTCAGACAGAAGGTTAGTCCAACAAAGGTGTCAGATGCCACAATCAGCCAACGTCAGACTTTCAAAGGAGTGACATTTAAAGTAGATGTTTATGTAATAGTTTCATCTTAGGACACTGAGTAAGGACAGCTTTTTCTGTTTGCTTGGTGTAATTTCTAGAATATTGCATATGTCTCTGAATTCTTTCAGCTTATTGAGACCACAATTTATTTTTAAATTTTTATACATGTGGCAAAAACCTCGTATTTATTTATTATTTATTATTTATTTTTTATTGTTCAAAATATTAGAGATGTCCCTTTTCCC